CAAACTTGGGTCTCCCAGATCCTAATCTGAAACTCTATCCACTACACAACACTGGTTTTTGTGTAGTGGCTGTTGCTGAAGAGTAGCAAGCAGCTGGGCCTGTCAGTGGTTGCTTCCCAGTCTGGCCTGATGAGGCCTTCCTCAGATGTCAAAACAGTATTGGAAAAGGCCCTGCCCCCTCCCCCTGCCTTTGACTGACACAAACCAAGGTGTAGAGGATGGCAATATTGTTGCGGTTGCCTAGCAACCCTCACAATGACCATTGGTGAGGGCATCCTTTTTTAAAAGTACAGGTACAACTTTTTAAAAAAAAACCCAGTGTTGTTGTTTTTTTAAAGAATTCAGATTTTTCTGCAACCTTGGGGCTTTTTCAAGTTTGTTGAAAAATCTGCCTTGTCTGTTCTCTGGATTTACATATCCACAGGTGGAGGGCACATTGAAAAATAGATTCAGCACTACTGCTGAATGGATTCTGATTTTCCAGATCCCTGACTGTCATCTCCCCAGTTCTAGAATTCTGTGGATCATTCCTGTCAAGGAGTCCAGGCCTGAACCCGGAGCTAGTGCACACAAGAAAACAATCCTTGTAAAAACGTATTACGTTTATTTGAATACTTTTCAGAAATAGTTTTTTCTCTAGGCAACACACTACTCTAAAATCATAAAGCAAAAGAAAACAAGAAAAACTAGCTTAACTATCTAACATATTTGAAACCTGCATTAGATGGCACAATCTTGAAGTCCTAAAAGTCAAAGGCCGTAGCTTAAGAGTCTTCTACGTTGCTTTCCATTGCGATATAAGTGTGTTTCTGCCATTTACCTCCGAATTAAAGCTCTCTTCTTGACTCTGCTGACCGAGCCACATTATTCATGCTTGTATAATCGCCAGACTGCATTACCGTAATAAACCATAGTCCATCAGAATCCAAGCTAGTTTCCTTCTATAGGCTCATTAGCTCAATTATAGTTTCTTGGCCAACCAGCATTAGGTGATGATGAACCCTCTAGAAAGTTACCTCACCACTCCTGATTCCCCCCTCCCATCCTGTGGGCTGCAGGTTCTCATGAAGAGCTAATTATCACATTCCTAATTCTGGCCTTGAAGATGATAAGGGCCATGTAGGCAGAGAGGCCCAGTTAGCAACACCTGCAAGATGGAATAAGCCCAGTATTATTCACATTGACCCTTGGGAAGGAATCAGGGGTGCTTTGCTTCACAACCCTGTGCTCAGCTCAGGCTTCCCAAGTACTTACCGTGATTCGGCGGGGGACAAACGGGGTGGGGAGATGGCAGGAGCACACTGGCCCTGCCTCTGCTTGAGCACTGTCTCATGAGTACAGCACTAGGGTGTAGAGGTGTGTATGCTCACTCCCCATGACTGGCAATATTCAGAAAGCAGCATCTCTGTTCACAGGGAGAGTGTATGCATAAACACCTCCTCCACAAATGTGCATTGTCTAGAAAATCTAGTGATTGTGTGGAAGGATCATCTTATGGAGGGGCTGTATTGTTGTTGGGCTTGAAGGTTTTGAATTTGGGGGAGCAGAATTTTGTTATGTGGTATTGTTATTTTAGTGCCGGATCTTTTTATTGTGTTGTATCATTGCTATATTTTTAGTGCTTTTAGAAGGAGCTATATGTGTAGCAGAAATGGGGTGGTTTTCCCCCCCTTCATATAAGAAAGTCTTTACATTTCACTGTTAAACTGGGAAACATTTTCTCCATTCTGACTATAGGTATTAGGTAAACTTAGGGATAATGCATGGTTGATTCTCACTCATCCCGTAATAAGACCACTTGGAAATATGTGTTCTCTGCAAAAACACCAATTTGAAAGACTAAAAATTATTTTCCAAATACCAGATAAAGCAACCCTAATATTTTCATGATTATTTTTATATTCCAGGAGCACCTATTACTTCACCGGTATCATTCTCTGCTGGTCTCACTCAGAAGCCTTCCCATAATGATGTGGGTGTAGTGCATTTTAATAAAGTGCTTGTAAATGATGGTAACAACTATAACCCCACGACAGGTAGGAAAAAGTTTTATAAGGGATAGAAGCCATGGGATCCTCAGTACATTGCAGTCATTGTTTTCAGTGATGTCAGTTTGTGCCAACCTTACTTGACTATATTCACACAACTAGCTTAGCTTTTAGCAACTTGGTAAGGACAGCACAAGATAATGGAAAACTGTCACTTGTACAGGTAGAAAGAGACACATGCAGCGAATATTAAGGTGATCTCATTTCCTCAAATATGCATAGCCTTAACTTTGATTTTGGAAAGACAGTATATATTTGGTTACAGAATCCTTCTGCAAAAGGAAGAGAGGGAGGGAGATTTCTGTGGGTGCGTAAGGTTTCTGCCATTTACCTCCGAATTAAAGCTCCCTTCTTGACTCTGCTGACCAAGCCACATTATTCATGCTTGTATAATCTCCAGACTGCATTACCGTAATAAACCGGGCCAACCAGTTCCTCTGGAGGGCCAACATCTGGGCATAGGCACTGAGGCCTTCTCCTGATGCTTCCTCCTGCCTCTGGGATTCAGAGGACTGGTGCCTCTGAATCTGTCATTGATAGACTTATTCTCCATGTTTATTCCTGTGGCAGCAAATTCCACATTTTAATCACTCTCTGTGTAAAGTAGTATTTCCTTTTGTCTGTCCTGAAACTACTGCCCATTCGTTTCATTGGATGCACTCAAGTGCTAGTATTTTGGGAGAGGGAGAAAAAAATTCTGTCAACTCTGTCCACCCTGTGCATAATTTTATAAACCTCTGTCATGTCTCCCTCCCCCGGGGAGATGGCAGGAGCACACTGGCCCTGCTTCTGCTTGAGCACTGTCTCATGAGTTACAGCACTAGGGTGTAGAGAGGTATGTATGCTCACTCCCCATGACTATTTCCTCATAGGGAAAGTGCTCCAATCCCCTAATCACATCTTGGTATCCCCTCCTCTGTACTTCTTCCAGCTCTGCAATGTCCTTTTTGAAATATGGTGACCAGAACTGCACAGAGTATTCCAAATGAGGCCACACCATAGATCTCTGCAGGGGCATTGTAATATTGGTCATTTTATTCTCAGTCCCTTACATAGAGTTTACCTTTTTCACCACCGCAGCACACAGGGTTGATACTTTCATTGAGCACTACAACCCCAAGATTTCCCCCCCCCCTCTGTCTCAGCAAGTTCAGACCCAATGCAGCTATATTTGAAGCTGGGATTTTTTTTTTATCCCAGTGTGGATCACCTTACACTTACCAGCATTGAACATCATTTGCCACGATGTTGCCGACTCACCCAGTTTGCGGAGGTCCTTTTGGAGCTCTTCAGCCAGCCTTGACTTTCACCATCCTGAAGCCACAGCTCGGACTTACCCCTGGCGCAGCCTTTGTGGGCTTTGGGGATGGGGGGGGCAGAGCAGTAGAGGACCATGTGGTCTCCAGCAGTCTGAATGCAGGGTATGAGGAGGGCCAAGTATGGGGTGGTCTCGAGGGCCAGGACCTCCCACCCTGCTCTTACAGGAATTGGTGCTGCCACCAGGGCCTCACCCCAGTTGTTTTGCAGCAGCATCTGCAAAGCTGGCCACTAAACTATTCGCCCCTTCTTCCAGATAACTGATGAATAAATTAAATAGTACCAGCCCCAGTACCAGTCCTTATGGGACCCCAGTTACTTCCCTCCATTGTGAGAACTGTCCATTGATTCCTACTCTTTGCTTCCTGTTGTGTAACAAGTTTTTAATCCATAAGAAAACCCATCCTCTTATTCCATGACTGCTAAGTTTACTCAGGAGTCTTTGGTGAGGTATCTTGTCAAAAGCCTTTTGAAAGCCCAGGTATATAATGTCTACCAGGTCACTGTCGTCTACACATGCTTGCTTCTGTTTGGACAGTTGTCCTGTGGTTAGCAGTATTAACAGTCTATTATTTTAGTCAGAACCTAGCATCAGCTCTGGTTTGTAGATCAGAGCATCCCACAAATTTTTAGCTTTGTTTATCCAGCGTGCATTTTTTTTTCCTGTTCAATAGGTCTACACATTTTACATATTTGCAAGTTAACACCCACTGAATATAAGGTCTAGCATACATTGAGCTGTTCTGTTCACACAATACTGCTCTGCTTTGACTTTTTCAGGCTGTCTTGATATAGACCCCAAGTATAGCTTAAAATCAGAAAACTTCATACTAGCCATATGAACATTTTCCAATTATGTGACCTTTCTTTCTTCTGTTACTCCATTTGCATTGATGTGTGTGAGTAGAAATGGTAATAGCGTCAACTATATATTTCTGGCCTTTTTGCAGGGATCTTCACAGCTCCATATGAAGGTCGTTATCTTATCACTGCTGTCCTAGGTCCCGAAAGGGATGAATACATTGAAGCTGTGCTGTCCGTTTCCAACGCAAGTGTCGCTCAGCTCCACACAGCTGGTTATAAGAGAGAGCTGCTTGAATATCATAAACCAAGACCAGGAAAACGAACTTGTGGTGGAATTGGGGCTTTCCATCTTGTTCTTCACCTCAAAGCTAGAGCTGAAGTAAGCATTGTTGTTACTGGGGGAAAGTTGGCCTATACAGACTCTGATGAAATGTATTCCACTTTCAGTGGAGTTTTTCTGTACCCTTCTGTTTCTCATGGGTAAGGTATGTAAGAAGGAGATAAGGTAGCTATCTGAAAGATAGCAATAAAATGGTAACCTATTTTATTTCTCTCTCCTTTTCTGCCTTCAATACTTTTGTTGTGTTCCTAGATAATTATATCTTTTGTGTAACATGCAAAAGGTAACATGCATCTCTGAAAATGCACAGCAAACAGTCCTAGGAGTCCAACTGGCTATGACTCCTTAGCAGATTTATCACACGTTGTCAGATATAATTTACCTTCAGGTGTTTCCGAAAAGATGTGATCCAGACCCACACTCCATCTCTTGTTGTGAAGCACATGTGTTGATTTGTAACTGTTTTAATGTAATAGTCCCACTAATTTCATTATGACAAACCAGCATGTGTTGAATAATCTGTAAACCTTTATGATTTATTCTAGTCCCCTATGCAATTCAGATTTAAGCAAAACATGGTTTATCAGTGTGCAGCCATTACCTTTAACTAAACTACTTCTTCCTGTATTGTCCACGGTACCATATTCATGGGCATAATTAAGCTCTAGCCTGATGAATACTGAAACTAGTTCTTAAGACAATGAATTAGTTCAGTTAGCACAAAACAATAACTGTAAGAATGAACCCTGATCCACTTTTGATTACTTAACTGTGGTCCACTTTTGATTACTTTTGATTACTTAACTGTGGTGTCAGATATCTATTGCTAGTTCAGTGTTAACAATTGATCCAGTTCTGTAATGGACATTTTCAGTCCATTAGTGTCGGTTTCTCCGTGATCACTCTTTTTATTGATGTCTTTATCTTTCCCTTACTACAAATCGTTTTCATTTCATAGAGCTGCTTCACAGGAAAAAATCATACTCAGCTTGACTGCACTGATTCCAGCCTCAAGAACGACCTTCTTACCTCTTTGCTGTTTTCACATAGTGTTAGTCATAGTGTTGGTTCAAAACTTGCTACAGATGGGTTTCAGTTCCCTCCCCTATATTCACTTGCCTCGGTGATTCAAAACTTGTAGTTCTCCCATCAACTAGAATGCAGCTGTCCATTTAACTAAAAGATCTTTCAGATAAATCAGTGCTGGTCCAAGATCATCATCCTGCATCCAGTGCAAGACTAGGTCTTCTAATTCATTAGGGTACAGGAGTGTCCACTCGGGTCTTATTTTGAGCTCTGTAGGCAGAAACTACAAGACCACAGGCAGTAACATTCTTAGGTAAGGTTTTATTGTTGGTTTAATTAAACACATAAGTGACTTATTTTCCTAACAGATCAGTTTTTACAAAAAACACTGTACTGGAATGTTCACTTAATAATTGAGCAAAAGTAGATCAAAGCAAAAATATTCATAACACAATTATCAGTAATTAAACAGAATATACTGAAGAGTTCTGTCCTTCCTTTGCATTCAAAACCAACCAAAATGCAGATTTTTCTGTCAGCATTAAAAAACGGTCTAAGTTTTGCTGATTAACAAAAGCAATTTGCTTGGCCAAAAGGCAAGCCCCTAAGTTATTCATTCTAGTACATTTCTCCTCTTAGTTATTTTGCATTAATTGCCTTCAGGAACTCTATATTAGCTGTGGGGTTTTTTTAACTTCAATCTCCAGCTTACATTCCATGTTCATACTTGCAAAAATGGAATCAATTTAGAGTTCCCCAGTTGAAGAATCATGTTGAAGTAGAGGGCACAATTCTTGAAACAGTATTTTTATTTATTTTACAGAGTAATATTTTAAAGCATCATGTCTGCTCTTAAGTATTAAGAAAAACACTGTTGTACTTAAAAATTTATTGGTTCCTCCCCAATACTAGTTTTGAACACGTCAAAGAAATAAGAAATCCAGACCTTTATACTGTAATACAAATAACTGATTGTTTTCTTGCATAATGGGCAGCGTTTACCTTGTTCATTCCTATACAATGCTGCAAGGATTTAGGCTATGATTTCCCAGCCCCTTACTTGAAAACTGTCACATTAACTTTGAATAACAATTTCAAGTAGTAATTTTTGCAGCACAAGCTGCCCAATACATTTCCAAAGTAAAAGGAAATGCATTTTTGAAACAGCCTTAAAATGGCTGTTTTCCCCCCACTAACATAAATGTTCAGCTCTTTCATGGAAAGAATTAGCTAACTTGTGCAGATCTGAAATAGACACAGTAGGAGTGTTGTTTCCCAATACCAATTTTGAATAGTCTATTTCCACTACAACAAAGAAACATACTAAGGAGGAGTTCTAAACAAAGATTTTGTGAATACTGGGGCACACTCTACCAGTAGACAGCTCTAGAGTCACTGAGGTAAAATCCAAACTTAGTATTTAAAGTTCCACATAATGCTATCCAAATCTAACCTTTGACATTATAAATAATAGCATATTATTTTTAAGAAGTGCATATCTATTTCAAATTAATGTTTGGATCAAGATGACTCAAGAGCACTCTTCAGCATTAAACATACAAACAAAATTTTCCCAGGCTATAAGTATAAAAGAGAATTTTTCTTCCAGAAGCTTTGTGGAAATTATTATGGTCAAAAACACCTCATGGATCTCTCCACTGAAATCACTTTTTCACATTTTCAGAGTTTTATGTAAACTAAGACAACAGGAAAGTGAACAAGTTCCAGCTACTGAAATGGATTGCATCTAGTACAGTAGACTTTGTTTTAATGGCACTGTGCAATTTGTACTTTCTTTGGACTGAAAAAATGTACTTTGTCAAATTAATTCTACCTTTGGGAGGGGGGAGAATCATAGTTGCCATAATGAATCACACAGCCTGACCATTGTAAAGTTAGGAATTTCAAGGCCTAGAGGATGCTGTGCTCACACCTAGTGATCCCAGTTAATTCTTCTTGGGTACGTTTTCTGAACAAGTTCACTGAAGAATAAGCCACAGTTCTCTCCTGGCTTTATGAGAGAGCCCAAGGAGCCTGGCAATGTTTCTACTAAGAAAAACAAGAGCTGCACCTAGCGCTTCAGCACTGTTATGGGAGCTGACTCAACAGAACACCAGCCTCAGGAATTACTGGAGCTGCAAGTTAAACCTAGTTGTTCATACATGACAAAAAAGGCAGTTTTCATATATTTGTATGGATCTTCTGGGTGACCCGGAAAAGCACCAGTCATAGCCAAGTGGTGCCAGCATGTCACTTCTGCCCCTCCTAGACCCTAGCTAACTTCAAGTTAGTGATCTTTTTAAAAACTTAAATTTTCTGATTAGTTTGATTTTGCTTGTGATGTACTACAACAACCTGGCAAGGGGAGAGGTTAAACTTGCCAAATCTGTTGTGCTGTTTACAGGCAACTATCAACTAACATCTGTTTGCAAAAGTGAGAGAATGTAAAACAACTGGCTACTTAAATCAGGACTTCAGTTGCTTTTGCACATACTATGCTACTAATATATAAAGCATCTGATCAGAACTGACATTTATAGTTGAAACTTATAATTTCCCACTTGGGTCCCATGCCACTTTTGTCAGACTGAAGAACCCCGATACACGGAGTTCTGGAAAGGCTTAAGAGTAGTCCCAGTTTTAAAGACTAATCTTATACATTACCTTTTTGTTACAAAACAAGAGTTTTATCCCTGAATGTTTTCTGAATATTTTGCTTACTGACCTATGTAGTGTGCACAGACTAAAGAGGTGCTAACTGTTTCAGCAAAGGTTTTCTTACCTTGCTGTGGATTTCCAATTTTATATAGCAGCTAGAGAAGCTATATATATATATATGACATATGTCACAAGTAACAAAAGGCATATTTGATAGCCCAATCACTGTGTGGTTTAATAAAATGTTACAAGGCAAAGTAATTATGAGAATGTGCTAATACAGTACCATCTCCACTTCAACCATCACTACTCTCTGATGCAGCAAAATGACTATCAAGCATTAATTACTTAGTAAATTCTTAAGACATTAAGGAATTTAACCACAAGAATCTCAGATACAACATCTGAAACAGCCTAAGTAATTGAGTACTGGATATGATTCCTATTTTGGGCCTAATAGTGTCTATATCAGTTCTACATACTTTATTTTGTTGCTTAAGATGATATAATAAGGAGACTAGTACACAATTCACCACATGCATCCAGTATGGTTTGTATATATGAAATTGTAAAGCTGCTCCTAAATTCCCACCCTTTTACTGTTTTCTAATCTCTCAATGGTCTGGTATTTAAAAGAATAGTTAGCATTCCAGTGCCTTATTGAATAAGGATACCTGAAGAACAAAGAGATTAGCCTTCCATTACACTGGCTTGTACCAAACCTATGACATTTTCTGTATTTAATAAGACATGTGGTACCAAAGGATAAGGTGGCCTCTCTCCAGAAAGAGGTGGTGTGTGAGCACTGCTGTTCAAACTAAATCTTCTACGTTCACCTCTGGAAGTGGTTCTCTCCAAAAGCAGAAGGAGCTGAATTCTGGGCACACAAAGGCAGAACTCTGTTCCTTATTAAGAAGTGGAAATACATGTTCTACGAGTTCACTGAGTCTGTAATACCTGCATTCAAGAAGAAATAAGAAAAATAGTTATTCATAATCTTGTTTCAATGTAGTTAAGACGCAATGCTACAATAAGTGCCTCACAGCCATAAGGCCCAATCCTATGACTTCTTGCTCAAAAGAGAGCTCCCCTCCATACTCCAAAGTTTGTGTGATTATACAGGATCGTAACACAGGAATACAGTACATGAACACACAGTTTTTCTGTTTAATCAATGTAATAGTTTAAATTTTAAATAAATGAGGCTAGCAAATGGAAAATGTACTTTCCTGAAATTGCATTACTGCCCAATCAATTAAGTGATGCAAGAACTTTCAGATTATTTTAAAAATCCTATACTTACGAAGATTTGTTTCCTTTCGTTTGTTCCTGGATTAGTTCACCCTTTGGGTTGACTGTGAATATTCGACAGTCAGGAACTCCCACTTGCATGTAGGCATATACATCCTATAGATTACAAGAAAAACAGAACATCTTTGCATTTTGTTTTAAAGGCTCCATTGACAATTTTATGATTTGACTAATTTGACAAATAGACAGGTTCTATGTCCACAGGCTCGTGAATAAATTTTTTCACATTCCCCAGCATCTTCTGAAGGACATTGTTTTGGATGATGCTATACCAGCACCTTTCTCTTGTTTTATTGTTTGCAAGATCTCTAAAGGCTGGACAGACTAACAGTAGGGCAGGCCAGAAATCTCTGAAGTTTCTAGAGATAAAATGGAATGGAAATTAAGCTTAATTTGCAATTGGGGCCTCAAGTTCCCCAGCTGGGGAAAAAGACCTTTAGAAAGATGAAGAGCGAAGTAAAAGTAGAGGAGAGAATTATGGGGTTAAGAAATGTCAACATTTTGGATTAAGAGCTCAAGTCAGGAAAAAAAATATCAGTAGTTTCACATGCTTGGTTACAACCAGTTCCTTTAGGGAAGTCATGAAGTCTGTTGTGGAATAAGTGATTTAACTACTTCAAAGTTAGGTAAAATTAACATATAAGAGAAGTTATGGATACACTGATAAGGCTAGGCTTGAAGAGTGGTAAGTATTTAATTTACACTTTTTTATCAAACCAATTACTAAATTACAAAAACTCCATGCCCACCGTCTGTAATGTGAAAACACAAATATTTTGACTCATTGTTAGGATGATGGCAGACTTACATTAGGCCTGTTTCCAAAAGCAGCATAGAAAGGTTGTTCACATGGACCAAACAAGTTCTTGATATCATTTAAACACTCAATTTTGAACTTCTCTGGCTTCTTTTCGATCACTTCCCTGAGGGGGGGAAGAAAACCATGAACTATAACCAGTCCCACAGCATCTAATCCACCGTACATGTGGCCTAAAATGGTATTGGGGTAACACTTGAAAACAACTACTGCTTCTCTGAACTGAAACACTATTGGTGTTTGCTTTTCAATGAAGTAAGGATTGGTTCACTTATACAGTCCTAGTACTTACTGTATTCCTGCTATACTTCCTCCTGGGCATGGGAAAACATCAGCATACATTAAAAGCTGCAAACAGTAGCATCTTTTCTTCAGAATGCTTGAAGTTTTTCAAAGATGTTTTCCTTGTAAGTGTGTAACTGCTAAAAGTCCCAGTACAATGTGTCATAAAGTATTCATCCAAGTCCCTAGATTATTTATAGGCATGCCTTTCTCCCAGGCATCCCAGGATCCAACTTCAGTTTGAGAACTTGGATATTCAGGTGTTACAACCTGTTGTATCCCATCCTACTCCATTAGGCCACATTGAGTGACCAACATGAACACCTTAAAGCTACGTATATTGGAGCCAGCTTGGCTCTTAACAGTTGAAGCCACCAGAGGCTCAAAACAAGTTTAGATCTGCCCTACTGGTGTATTTTACTTTCTCCAACATTATATTAATCTAGTACAGCGTCCCATTTCATGCAGTGGCCAACCAGAAGCCAAGGCCTTCCCCAATGTTGCCCCCAGGCTCTGGGATTCAAAGTTTAGTATGTCTCAAGGTGGAGGTTCCCCTCAGTCACCATGGCTAGCAGCCATTGATAATAAGGACAAAAAAGGGAAAAGGGAAAAAAACTGAACCTAAAACCTAGAATTCAGAACCTTAAAAGGTTAGTCAAGAATAGAAGAGGGCCAACTCTAAAAATCTAATTATGAAACATACAAAAATATACATGTATTTATTAAACACAAATTAAAATTAAACACAAATTAAAATAACAGATAAGGCCCCATTCATACCACATATACAAATATAAAAATTCAAAGGCTGATGAAATAGACCTAACGCAGCCCTGCACAGGCCCTGTTTAATAAATACATGTATATTTTTGTATGTTTCATAATTAGATTTTTAGAGTTGGCCCTCTTCTATTCTTGACTAAGCTTTTAAGGTTCTGAATTCTAGGTTTTAGGTTCAGTTTTTTT